ACACTGGGCGCGTGTGCGTGCGTGCCCAAGATCCCGAGAGGAGAATGGAGGAGAAGGGATTGCGGCGTGACCATCCCCCCTGGGGGGTGATTTCTCACTTTCTGTCTCTCTGGCGAGCACACGCGCCCTATAGTAAAAACCTCTCTAAAAAAAAAAGAAGTGGCAGCCGGGTCGTGGTGAAGGCCCACGTTGCTTAATCACTCTTTTCTTCTTAATTTGCAGGTGGTTCCTGAAATGACGGACCTGTTGAAGAAAAAGTGAATCACGAGCACACCTAAAGGCAGAGTGTGTCAGCGCGTCCAGTGAGGAGCCTCGAGATCCGTGGGTGTTGCAACAGTCACTGCAGAGCACGGAGAGCTGCCTTCCATAATGTGAGGAGACACTCTAACAGGATGGGATGCTTTTCGATGGGACTGTTGTTATGTTCTTCTCAATTACATGTGGCTCCAAATAATGATTTTTAAAATTTTTCTAATTCTGTGATGAAATATATAATAAAGCCTTACCACAACTTTCACACTACTATTGGAAAGAGGCCTGGCTTCTTAGAGACAGAGAGAAAAGCGACCTGGCCGGGTGACCCCGGCCCGGGCCGAGCCTCAGCATACCGTGCAGGAGGGCGCTGGTTTGCGTCCTAGTCGGCCTGAGCACGCGGGCATGCCCCTGGCCCTGGCCGGCCACCCGGCTCAGGAAAGATCACGTGCGAAGACCTTGTCAAGGGAGTCTGTCTGTCTGTCGTCTCATGAAGAAAATAAATAAACATCCTAGAACGTGAAAGGAAATTTAGAGAGCAGTGGAAATGAATGCACCCGCCATGCGTTCATCCCTGTGGTGGCGTAGGTGGTAGGGCCACGACCTGAGGCTGAAGCTGCAGGGAAGGCCTGGGTTGGGTTTTGGAAGCAGCCAGAAGCAGGCCGGGCATGGCAGCGCACCTGTGATCCTCACCAGCCGAGGACTGGGGCAGGCGTCTGCGGAGTGGTGAAACCGTGGTAAGAATGCTGTCTGGAGACCAGCAGGTGGCTTAATGTTTACATCACTGGACTCCCGTGGGGCTGACCGCCGAGTCCCAGACCTGGCGGCTTGAAACTCACTGGGCATGCGTGCGAGCATGCTCAAAATCCTGAAAGGGAGTGGAAAAGGGATCGTGGCACAGCTATCCTGCTGAGGGTGATGCCACGCTTTCTGTCTCTGGTGAGTGCATGAGCCTTATAGCAAAAAAACTCAAAAACAAACAAACAACAAAAAACCTGTCTGTCTCTGTCCCTCTCCTCTCTCTTCCCCTTTGTCTCATAAAAACAGAACAAAACAACAAAATTTGCGTGTTTGCGTTTCCCTCTGTCTGCCGTGTTCACGGAGCACTGTGTCTCACGAGGTGGT